GGGTAGTGAAACACTGGAATGCGTTACCTAGGGAGGTGGTAGAATCTCCTTCCTTAGAGGTTTTTAAGGTCAGGCTTGACAAAGCCCTGGCTGGGATGATTTAACTGGGAATTGGTCCTGCTTTGAGCAGGGGGTTGGACTAGATGACCTTCTGGGGTCCCTTCCAACCCTTATATTCTATGATTCTATGATTCTATGATTCTATGAAGCATGTTCTTGGTGGTGGTAGATGCCCATTCTAAATGGCCAGAAGTCTCTATAATGCAGTCCACTACTGCAGAGAGTACTATCCAAAAACTACGAGGACTCTTCAGTCGTTTCGGTCTGCCAGAACAACTTCTGAGTGACAACAGGCCGCAGTTCGTCTCTCAGGAGTTTCAAAATTTTATGAAGGCAAATGGGGTACACCACATCACTTCAGCACCACATCATCCATCCACCAATGGATTAGCTGAAAGATTTGTGCAGACAACGAAACAAGCTTTGAAATCAGCAAGGGGACAATTATCCATTCAAAAGCATCTGGACACCTTCTTACTATCCTACAGAAACACACCTAATGCTACAACCAAGGCATCCCCGGCCTTTCTAATGATAGGACGACAGCTGCGCACTTTCTTTGATCTGCTGAAACCTTCTGAACCCCGACAAATTGTGCAACGTCAGCAGCAAGAGCAAGTCATCAGGTGTGCACCCAGAGCAAAAGACCGAACCTTTAGCCTGGGACAGCCGGTTTTGGCTCAGAATTATACTTCTGGAGCTAAATGGGTCCCTGCCACTGTCATCACTCAGACAGGGCCTTTTTCCTACACAGTCTGGACTGCAGAGGATCTCACCTGGCGGTGACATGTAGATCAGCTACTGCCAGGTCATACCAGTCCTCAGGACACATCTTCAGTTGAGTTGCCTGACTTCACCACTTCCAACGAGACACCAAATCAAAAGTCACCTGTTCCTGACTTTTCCCCTCTATTACTGCCAGTGGCAGAGGTACCCCTCTGCCTGGCACGAGCTGATACCACATCCTCACCCATTTACCCTACGAACCCTGAACACATTGTCAGGCCTGCGCCCCAGACACTTTTGGGTGCAACAACACCAGAAGTCCGCCATAAACCACCTAGAGACAGAAGGCCTCCTCAATGGCTGGATCTTTACTTAGGGCAAACCCATGGTTACGGGGCAAAATAATCCCCGGGGTTTAGCTGGGAACGGAGGCAGTCTACCTTCTTTCTCTAGTTTAGTGTTTGTTTTATTTAGGGGACGTTCTTATTAAGGGGGGAGGTATATGTTGTGTATTTGGTTGTCGTGGTAATAGAATCTTGTGTTGCTATGGCAACTGAGTTAGATTATTAGGGGATAGCCCAGCCAGTTTTGCATGGTTTTTGGTTAGTTCAGGGTGTGGCAATAAATTGCTGCTTCAAGGTTTATAGCTCTCTGTCTCCAGTGATTTCTTCCTAAAACTGTTGCCCCTATGGATGGAACAGGGTCCTCCGCCTGGTCCCACCTGAAAGTCTCTCTTCTGGGACTAACCTTCCTGAGCTCCCAGGGGCTGGCTTTTGCTTCTTCCAGCAGCTTGCCGCTGTCATGGCTGGGGCCAGCCTCCGGCTCACCTTCCGTGGTAGTAGTTTCTCTGTTTGCTGCCCGTGTCCATCTGCCTACTAGGGCGGTCTTCTGGCCCTGGGTCAGGATCTGGGTTCCCAAAGCTTTCACAGCCTTCCTCTCTTTTTTGCTCTTCTGGGTCTTTCTCGGAGCTGGGAACGGTTCCTGAGAAATCTCAGAAAACATCAAGGGTTGACATTCCCTCAGTGACGAGTCGCTGCCTTCAGGGTCCCCTCCTTTCTCCAGCCTCTCCGGGGGAAGTAAATTATCAAACCCTGGATAGTCCCTCCCAATGACTACAGGATATGGGAGTTTAGGAACTTACACCCACTGTCACCTTAGTGGGGTTCCCCTGAACCTCTAACTCTACCGGGATGGTGGGGTAATGGCTCACGGCCCCATGTACACATGTCATTGCTATGCGTTTGGCCTGTAGCAGCTGGCTACTTTTTTGAGGATGATAGCACTCCCAGAGTCCACAAGCACTGTAGTCTCCGCCCTGTTTATTCTCACCAGCTTGGTGTAGTTATGTGGGGCTAATGCAACCCCTGAAAGGTGGATAAGGGAGCACAGGCCCTCCCAATCCCCCAAGTTACATTGCATAGGCTCCTCGGTGCTGGGACACTGTGCTGCTATATGTCCCCACTCCCTACATGCATAGCATCTATATTTGCTTCTAGTCACTCCCCTATCACATGGGTTAGGGGGTTTAGTCCCAGGGCTCCTCCCACTAAGGCCATTCCCTTCCTTCTGGGTTCCCAGCTGGTTTTTGGACCCCCTCTTCTTCCACCTAGGGCTCCTTGGGGGTTTGGCTGCCCAACCTTCCAGGGTTGGGGTCCAATGCTTGCTTCATAAGGGGCCTTCCTTGGGTAGTCGGGTCAACTCCCTGGCTGTCATCCATCTTTCTACCAGCATGATTATTTCGTCATAGGTGGATGGATTGTTCTGGAATACCCATTTGCGGAGATCTGGCGGCCACCGTGGCTTGCACCAGAGCTCTCATGACCTTCTGCATTGTGGTACAAAACAAAACCCCAGTGCACTTTTTTTTTACCTCTTTCTTCCACCACACTGTGAACAAATGATCCTACTCCCAACACCAGTTGTGACAAAGCTCTGACCTCGTCTCAGTGACCTCGTCTCCTGCACTTCCAGGTGGATTATGCTAGCCTCAGAAGCTCACTATGACCGCCCACATAGCCCTTCTCTCTCTAGAGACAAGGGTCACATCTTTCTGAGCCCTTTTCATCATAAGCCAGCAAGGGCGGTGGGAAGAAGCAACCCTCCCTCAAACAGTCTCTGTTGTCTCACAGTCTCTGTGATTGATCAGGGAGAGTGGGGGAGCCTGGGGTGAGGAGCCCGGGCCTACCCTCTACTTCGGCTATTGGTAGCTGATTTCTGAAAAAGGAAAAGTACAATTCCCTGGGCCACTTCCCCACAGCAGCCCCCATTTTCTCAACATCTACTTCACCCTTACCTCAAGGCCTCCTTCCTTGTGTCTGATAGGGTTTGTACTTCCCAGTTTCTCCAGCAGCATGGCTTCCTCCTACAGCTCCTGACATGCACCCCTAACTGACTAACTGGGAGGCTTTTAACTAATTCCAGCCAGCCCTTGATTGGCTTCAGGTGTCCCAATCAACCTAGCTGCCTCCACTGCTTTCTAGAAGGCTCTTAATTGGCCCCAGGTGTCTTAATTGACCTGGACCAACTGCCATTTTGGTTGTCATGGTAACAGGGATTTGTTTAGCCTGGGGCTAATATACCTGTTTCTCACTACTTTTCTATAGCCATCTGGCTGTGCCAGGCGGCAGTTTCTCTGCTCCTTCACAAAGTATTTTATCATATACTGTATATGCTCTTAAAGTGTGTATTAATGTTTCAATTTCAATTCAGATTTCCACCCAATGACTAAATTGTCAACACTGCATATTTCTAGTTGACCACTGGGGGATGCTGGGAAAATTCAGGGGGCATGTAGGGATCTGTTTCACACACACCTTGTCTTGTTTGGGGATTTTTTCCTGTCAGCGTTTTGTGTGCTATGGAAATACATTATTTGAGGGAAAGCAGAGATATACTAGCATGAAAGAATGAGCTTATGTGAAAGCAGATATAGATACAATACAAGGGAAATGTAAGAGCTATGGGAGCATATAAAAAGGCAACCACAATAAACCACAACAAAAGTTGAAGACTTCAGCTCATACATCTCTGCAATGTTCTTATTCTAGGTCTGAATGGATAACAGCTAAATTATATATTTGGCTTTATTCATTATCATTTAGCTGTTTCATAAAACTCCTATCTTCATGGAAACCCTTTTTAATACATCTCAGGATATTTTCAATGTTCACCTGAGGCAGAACTAATAGGAAGAGTTTCAGTCTGGGACAGTGTCACACTAATATTTGTGCTGCTACTAGATGGCTCACTCTAAGAAAGATTACTACTATTTGCAATCTATATGACTACTTTTGATGTCAATGGCACTACTTGTGCTTTAAGTTAAGCACATGCTTAGATGCTTTGCTGGATTGTGGCCTCAGATCCTAGTATTTTCTGGAAAGTTTGGCAATTGTATTCCATTGCTGAAGCATATTGTGGCAAGAGCAAGGGAGGGATGTCTCCGTTCCCTGGAGAAGGGGGGCCCTTATTTTCCTAAAAGGAAAGGACTAAAAGGAGTATAACCACAGTATTATTATTTATTATTTGCTGAATTAGTCTAAGGCAGAAATGATTACCAATCATTCCTTTTATACAAAGAAGCAGAAGATTAAGTCTAGAACAATAATCTTAGGCAAAAAAATTTCAAAACACTATAAATTCATAATTTGAGCATCAATACTGAGGTATATTCAGAAATTTAGTAACCTCAATATTATGTTACTTAGATGGCCACATTAGGTGATCAAATGTTCCAGCTTGCTACCCATATCCTAGTATACTGGCCCATGTGCCTGTACAGCTGAGATCACCAAGAACCTGTACAATGCAATTCACTATGTAACTCTATTCTGCTAGGTGGTGCTTGTAGTTTATGAATCAGAGGCCAGGATCTGCCAGTGACAGAAGCACTGACTTCAGTTTGGCATTGTCTGTTTGCTGGCAACAGGTTCAAATATCATTAAGCAGTGGGGTTTCTTTGAGAAGTGCTTCAGGCTTCCTGTGTACAAAAGACTGTGGGTGTGAGGCAGAAACCCTGCAGTCTCCATGTCTTTGCACAGTAAGTGAATGTTTTTTTCTCTCTAGTGAGTTGTTAGTTTAGTATTATAGTTATTAAAGTAATCATATTCCCTCTGAGTTACCTACAATGCTTCTAGATATAGAAAAAACAATCTTGGACTCAGCCTAATCAGTACCTGTAAGACTAAAATACTGGGTGACTTTGTGGTAACTGACTAGCCAGAGCCACTGTTCCTGGCCTCTACTAGGAAGCATTTGGCCTCAGATCCAGTTATATCTATCAGCTCAATGCCAGTGCAGGATACTGCAGGACCTTCCAGAACTCCAGAAAGAATGGCTCCACCTGTGGTGGAGAGATACTCTTTCTCTTCCTCTGCATCTGAAAGGCGTGGAGCAATGTCTCTTACAGATATGTCATACTCCTCTTCCCGTGAGCCAGGTTACTCAGACAGTCAATGCTGAGGACATGCCTATAAAAGGGGCCATAGGAAAGTCTCAATGGTAGTCTTTATGGTATTCTCTGTGGCCTGTTGCAGCACACCCATATCTCATGCCTTCCTAGCCATTCTTGGCTCTATGGGGGAACCAGAAGAAGGGCACCATCCACTGCTCCTGCCTCTAAACTCAGGTATTTTCCCACCATAGACCTCAGCTATTCTGGTATACACCACAAAGATAGTGAGCAAGATAATGGGCAAGAGACAGATCCAGCCTATTTCTATGGCTATTTCTTCACTCTTGCCTGATGAGGCTAGCATGTCAGCTGTCCCAGCTGAGCCAGACAACTATAAGATCTTCTGGAAGCTTCCCCAATGGATGTCTGATAACCTGGACATTCCCGTAGAGTTTAGTTAATTAGTAAACGCCACTAGCATTTAGGGCAGCATCAAAGCTCTTCCACTCCTGTCTGTTTCTGACAAGTCTTTCAATGGTTTCCCAGCTGTGCTCCAAATTTTTCAGCTCAGCTTCCACAGCTCTTCACCATGTTGTTTCTGTGTGTCCTTGTTTTTGCTTGCCTTCAGGTGTCCATCTTATTGCTACTCTGGTGATGGAATCAGTTTCCATCAGAAACATATGGCCAATCCATCTCCAACGCCTCCTGGTAATGATGGTGCTCGTATCTTCTTGGCTACACTGTGTGAATAGGTCTTGATTTGAAATTGTTCTGGACCAAAAGATATGAAGGATTTTTCTGAGGCAGGTTGTATGGAATGAAGACAGTTTGGCATGTCATACTTTGTCATTCCACAGCATTCTGCATTATAAAGTAGTGTTGAAAGTATGCAGCTCTGATAAATCTTGAGTTTGATTCTTGGTGTTGTATTTTGCTGATTTCCAGACTAAATTTAAGCTCCTGAGGGTATTCCTGGCTTTATTGATTCTGTTCCAGATGTCCTGGCTTGTTCCACCATCCTGGCTGATGGTGCTGCTCAAGTATGTGAATGTTTCTACATTTTCCAGAAGCTGGGAATGAGCGACAGGGGATGGATCACTTGATGATTACCTTTTCTGTTCATTCCCTCTGGGGCACCTGGCATTGGCCACTATTGGAAGACAGGATACTGGGCTAGATGGACCTTTGGTCTGACCTAGTAAGGCCGTTCTTATGGTGAGCACATGATCCTCTATGCATACTGGTGATGGTGAGGCAATATTAAAGGTCATGATATCTGTCTTATTGCGGTTGATTTTCAGTCCAATTTGCTGGCGGAATGTGTTGAGTTGGGTTGTTTTTTCTTGTATATGGTGTTTTGTATGTGATAGGAGAGCGAGATCATCTGTGAAGTCCAGGTCTTCAAGGAATAAGAAGGGTGTCCATCTAATGCCTCTAGGCATGTATTCTGTTGTACACCACATTATCCTGTCGATGGTAATGTTGAAGAGGATTGCAGACATGACACACCCCTGACGTACTCCTGTTTTGACTTCAAAACTGAGCTCACTGTAATCAATACTGTATGTAAAGTTGGAATAGAAGCTTTTGATGATGTTGATGATACGGAGAGGGATTCCATGTGTCCACAGACTGCACTATAGGCTGGTCCTGTGAATTCTGTCAAAAGCCTTCTCAAAGTCTATGACATTTATGTAGAGTTGTCGTTGCCATTCTAAGCATTGTTCTATTATGTTTCATAGAGTGAAGGTCTGGTCTGTGCATCCACACATTTTCTGAAAACCGGCTTGCTCTTTTCTGAAAATGCTATCAACTGCCTCTTATAAATGCTGGACTATGATCTTACACAAAAGCTTGCTTGGCACATTTGTGCTGGAAATGGCCCACCTTGATTATCATACACATTGTAAGAGAGTGATCACTTTAGGTAAGCTATTACCAACAGGAGAGTGGGTTTGTTTGGGGTGGGTGAAGGGGCGGGGGGGGGGAGAAAACCTGGATTTGTGCTGGAAATGGCCCACCTTGATTATCATACATAGTGTAAGGAGAGTGATCACTTTACATAAGCTATTACCAGCCGGAGAGTGGGGTGGGGGGAGAGAAAACCTTTTGTAGTGATAAACACCCATTTTTTCATGATTTGTGTGTATAAAAACAAACATCTTCTGTATTTTCCACAGTATGCATCCGATGAAGTGAGCTGTAGCTCACGAAAGCTTATGCTCAAATAAATTGGTTAGTCTCTAAGGTGCCACAAGTACTCCTTTTCTTTTTAGATAAAAGTGAGATACTAGTAGAGGGTGCTGGAGAAGTGCTACTCAGTGTTTATTATTATTATAGCATTCTGTAGGTGCACACAGCAAGGAATTTGAGATAGCTAAAACGTGTAAAATATTCATATAGCAACTGAATGACAAGGAAGTATAGACAAGGATGCTTAAAAAGGGAGGGAAAGCTGTATGCTGCACAATAAGTGAGAAGGGGCAACATGAAATGAAGTATAAGATAAAGAGAGTGGTTAGCAGCAAGATTTGGGAGGAGAGTAGGAATTTGGGATGGAGCAGTATAAGGAAATGTCATAGCCAGGGAGGAAGTTATAATTTATAAGACTGAGAATAAGGAGCTTCACTTTGACGAAGAAAAAGAGATCAAGTTAAAGAAGGGCTTTAAACAGTGGTAGAGTGGTTGACATGGTCACAGCAGCAAGAGAGCAGATTAAAAGGGGCAAGTTTTGAATGTGGGGGTCAGGGAACTTGCAGCAGTCAACGTGGTGAGTAGCTGTGTGATATTTCACTTCTTCGATGTGTTCACTAAAGGCGACAGGATTTTTTTTTTAATTGAAAGTGGGGATTAGAGGGGGTGCGTGCACGCACGTAGTTTAGTGTCATGATAGTAGTAAACTACTAGCAATTTGGAGATTGGTATTGTGTTGAGTGTATGTATTGATTTCTTTCAATTTTATTGTTTTCATTCTTGGGAGGAAATACAACTTGAACAATGCAAAGTTAATGATTTTGTGTGTATGCAAATAGAGAGGAATAAGTGACACTTCTTACAAAGCTTAGGTGTGAGGAGAGAGAAGCTGAATACAGTCCTGGAAGATGGACAGGAGTTGGGAGGTATCACGGTCATAGGGAAGTGAGGGAGAGGAGTTTGGAGGACAGGCAAATGTTATTACAAACTAAGGGCCTAATGCTGCACCCATTTAAGTCAATAGGAATTTTTCCACTATCTATAATGGGAGCAAGATCAGGCCCTAAATAATTATCTTAATATTTTAATTTAGACTTTGATGATGTGTTTCATATATGCCAAGAATATAATATGGAATATTTATGCTGTTTTCCACAGAAGAGGAAAAAAACTGTGGACTACCACTCCCTATTACCAAAAGGAGAGCTGTCAATATAGACCGTCACCAGTATGTTCATGGAGATACAGTGAAATATGAATGTGAAGAAAACCATGTAATTGTTGGGGCAAAGACAGTGAAGTGTCTTAGTGGAGAATGGACATCCCGACTTTCAGGTGTTGGTAAACTATTTAGATATTACTTTAAACATTAACAATTTTAATGGAGACTCTTCATCAATATTTAGGCAGATACAATTTATAAAGATATTTAGACCATTCTTTACATGCCATATAGCTGATGCATTGGTTTGATGGTGAGTTTATGATTTTTAATTAGCAATTGCTAAGGTCCCAATTCTGAAAAGACTCATGACCATGCTTACCTTTATGCAAGTTGTCCAATTAAAGTCATGGGGTATTCACAATGTGTGCAAAGTTAAGCACTTGAGTAAAAGCAATAATGACTTTCAACAGGGTTTGCTTGACCCCCACCTTTCTATGTATCTTTCCAACAGAGGCAACTCAGTAGCATCTTGGAAAACTTTGGGATGTAATGAAGCTGGGTGTATGTATTTTCTTTAGGTGCTAGATGGCTTTTAAAAATCGTTTTGGAAGTTTCCAACAATTCTTAGAGTCAGGATGTGAGATATTAATCACATCCTCTGACCTCTGGTAGGTGTACATCAGATCTTTTCACATCTGAACTATGTTTTTGGCTCCTTCCTCTAATTCTCTCATTTAAAGTAACACAATACACACACTATGAAAGCCAGATAACTTAATGTTTTATTGTTTAAAACTAAAATAAACTTTTCTTAGTTACAAAAAGTTCAGTTTAGATCAAGATATACAGCATGGGTCAGATCCGTAGCTGCTGTAAACTCTCAGAGACAATTTACACCAGTTGAGGTTCCGCCGTCATGTATGTACATTTTTCTTAAAGGGTTGTGTTACTGAACAAGATTTAAGCTGTATATTTCTGCATTATTCACTATGATTTAAAACAATATATTTTGTCTATAATTGTGTTGAGAATTGCTTTTTACTCAACAAACACAGTTTGCTTAGCTTACACAATTGTTAGAGAAGCTTTGATTATAACTCTCAGAGACCCCTGATCAAGGCTATAAGACTTGGTGCCACACATCAACTTTAAGTTTCATATGCACCTTTCTGGGATACTGATTATTTCAAACAAACAGTCTCTCTAGAGAGATGAAACCAATGGTGCTCATGGTTCTAAATATATGATGAGGGCTTCCATTCCTGCACATCTCTCTAAACAGTTGGGGGAAGGAAGAAATCAAAGCTTGTGTTGCTGTTATTTCACACAGTAAAAGGGATACTATCAACTTAAAAATCATATTTCTTCCCTAAAATATTTCCCTCCTATTTAGGATGACCAGACAGCAAGTGTGAAAAATCGGGACAGGAGGTGGGGGGTAATAGGAGCCTAGATAAGAAAAAAAAACCAAAATCGGAACTGTCCCTATACAATTGAGACATCTGGCCACCCTACCCTTTTGCTACAAGTATACAAACTAAAAACACTTTGGGACACATCCATTCACTTACTGTGCAGAGACATGGGTGCTGCAGGGGTTCTGTCTCACACCCACAGGCTGTAAGAA